AAAACGTTACCTCTAGAGTTTATGAACTTCTATTGAGATGTAATTATTTGAACAATTTATAATGTAGTGTCGTCTGTTGTATCAATCCACTTTGTTGGTTTGGTATCAAATTAAACTTAATGATTTGAAAAGGTTTTCAGTCTGACACATAAAATATGCATGTAAAATTGAGTAGGATTTTAAATGAAAACTGTTACACATGTATCCTAAATATTGTTAGGTATTTTCAATCCTCAAAAGCGGTATATATACACTGTATTCAACTTATTATCGTTACTAATTGCTGAATTAGGGGATGTAGGGATTTAGGAGACTCAGAGTACTAGAATAAATATAATGCAGAAATTAGTAACTCATGAATTACTTTCAGAACCTGATTTTTTAATATTTTATGAATTTTTTTTTTGCTAATTTATTTAACATTTTTTTTTGGTCAATTTAAAAATTGAATAATTATAGTGTATTAGCTATTTAGTTACTCGTATAGATACAAAATTACACTCAATTGATCAAATTGTTATAAGTTCAATAATTATTATAAGTGAATAATATTTGTATAAAAAAAACAAAATTGTTATGTTAGTAAAAGAAAACAATTCCGCACATCGAAAAAATATTCGGACAGCATGACGCCACGACAAAAGCTTTTATGTGATTTGTAAGGAAACTACACTATTTATTCACAAAGGGTCTAAAGGATATCGTCATACATAAATCGACTGAAGAATACACGTTACCTGCATTAGATTGGTTAAAATATATGATATTATCACAATTATCTTATTTATCATAAAATAAATGTTAAAGGATATTTTTCATATTATATATTTCTTAGTCATTAATCAACTTAGCTTTTAAATAAAATATTAATCATTTCTGAAAATAATTTTTGCATTTGTATTAAAATATTAATCAGATAAACTTTTTTTTTAAATCAATACCACGTCTTGAACTTTCATTTTTCTTATGCTTTAAACGTGAAATGAAAGAATCATTTTTAAACTACATTATGAATTGATTATTAATTTGAATTTAGTAAAATTATCAGTCTTAACTTCACTTTACATATCACATAATGTATTTAATAAAATATTAGGTATATTATTGCGTGTCAAAGTTCTAATTATAAGCTTTATCGAACAATTTTACAATAAAATATTAAATATTCTAAAAAAAAAAATTAATTAGTTTTTAATAGAAATATTTTTTAAAAATAACACATTGATTTTTATTGCTGTAGCATAGTGGGGTTACAGCATAGTATCGACGGGGCATAGTTGGGACAATTAAAGAAGATATCTGACAGTGATAAAAATCTTATCATAAGAAACGCTTCGATAAAAATCCATTAGATTTGCATAGTGTTTAATTTTTAAGAGGAATTGTTGAATTCTTCAAAAATCAACTCCTATTTTCTTAATTATATTATAATTAGTAGTCCTTGATTTATAAGTATAATATATAAATAAATACTACTTATAGTAGTAAAATGATATTTAATAATTAATATTGTAATTTATCGGACATATTATAAAAAATTATAAAGTAATTGTATATTTCGTAATTTTTTGGCGTGTTTAAAAATTAAAGGACTTAATGCAAACATTTTCAGTAAATAAATTTTTGTTAATTATGAATAAATACAATAACCTACGAGGAATTTTCATCAGAGAATAAACTTTACTAAACCCATTTTTGGGCCGATTTACAATCTGCAATTAGATTTTTGCTATCACATCTAATTTTTGATATTATTACTAATAAGTAAAAAATGAGTATTTACAAGTAAAAAAAAATTGTTTTCAAATTATTATTATTATTTTGATTTTTATTATGTTAAAAATAATCCACCCAATACGTAATTTTCAACCAATTTTTTGGTCTTTTAAAATTGACATTTTATGAAAAATTATAATAAAAAAAGTTGGAACTTTTTTAGCTCAACTTGCAAGTTTAGAATTGACATTAATTAGAAAATTTTATGAAAAAAATTGGTATCACTATGATTAATATCCAGTCAGGAAATTTTCTAATTACTATTTACAGTAAATCTATGAGAAATATTCAATATTTCATTAAAATCACTATTTTTTTTTCATTTTTATCGTAATAAATAATTTTAATAGAAATCATACTAATCTATTTTATAAAACTTTTGGTGTTTAAAAATATTTATATTTGAAACATTCAGACCTTAATTGACGAATAATGATTTACTTTAACAAAAAAAACCAATCAAAAAGATTTAAATAAAATCAACTTAAATGATGGTATTATAAAAATTGATTATAGTTGTAAAAATACATTACTAAATTTAGGTGAAACCAGAAATCATTTTTTTTTTATAAATATTACAGTAACATATTACAAAGAGTTTTGAATATTCTAGATTTATAGAAGTACACACAAATAGTGTTAAAAAATAAAAATAATAAAAAATTTCAATTATTTAACTTTGTAGTTAAAACCTATTACATATCAAAAATGCAAATGAAATTGGTACCCTTTTTACCCCTTTTTAATGCGTTAATGCAGTTTACACTAATTTCTTATAAAATTTCAAACATGTTTTTGTATAACAATTTATTAAAATTTAAACAATTAATTTTTTTTGAAATTAATATTTTTTTAAATTAATTAACTATAGTAATATAAATTAAAAAATATGAAATATAAAATCGAGAAATTTTTCACCAAAATCATACGATTTTCTCTAACTTTAATATTCGTTTTCACCGCAAAGAAAAGTTCAGGGGTCACTTTCGTCAGCTTTGCATCGAAGCTAAAATATCATAAATTCTTCACAATATTTTTTGGTTTTTATAGGGATTGGCTTTTAAATATTTTTTTCGTATTGGGTTTTTTATGTTCTACAACAATTTATCCTTTTTTCGTATCGCTTGACGACCGTATTTTATTAAACTGACTTTTGTACTTATATACCTAGATGCCTTTTCTCTACTCTAAATAATATTCTTCATACTGAGTCAACAAGTAACATATTATATATATATATCAGTTGTGGTTTATTTAGGTCAATCTGCACTAGCACTACAAGCAAAGTATAATAGTGTAATTTAAACCAACTACAGTTCATGTTCACTTAAAATAATTTCTATTAATAATGTTGACACTTTTTCAGATGAAAAATTACTATGTACTTTATCGAAGTGATTAAAATTTCATGAAAATTGTATGAATTTTTTATGTTTGAGTTCTTGTTCAAAATTTATTGTCATAGTTGTGTTAGCTAAAAAAAATGTCCATCATAAGTGTTTTGTCTAAAGTTTTTGAATTGGCGAGTTATAAAAACTAAAGGTATCATTTATTCACGACTGCTATAATTTTGGCAATATATTTTTTTAAGCTTAGTCTTACTTACAGTTTCTACTTACTTATAGTTTAGATATAACACTTCATAATACTAATATGCAATTAGGTGAACACTGCTATAAAATTTTAACTTTTTTTTTTGTCTATCAATATTTAATAATATTTCAGTTTTATTACTCTTTTCAGTGTAGACGGGTACAATGTAATGCCATAATAACCACTACATTACATTTTCATGATTTTTTTTTTAAATTAGCATAATATAATTTTTTTTACTATCTTAAATAAAATTTATATTTAGGTAGAATACATATATTTTTTTAAAAATTAAAAAAAACAAGTATATTTCAAAATAAACGATATTTTATCAAATTAGTAGTTTGTTGATAATACACACTATAGAAGTTTGTAAATAAAAACTTATTTATAGTTTGTTTATGCAAGTTTTCTATTTTTTCTGCCGATATAAGTTGTTATACGCAAATTCAAGATCATCAAGTTTTATGGTCAATTGAACAATAGTTCTCTATTGAAAGTTTAAAGTTTTTGTAAAAAAGTAGTCGAATGCTACTAAATCTTTAAAAGAACCAATGTATTATAAGATTTATTTTGTTTTAGCTAATATAAATTAATTTTAAGTATTATAATAACTGGTTAGATATCAAGTGTCAAATTTTGTAACCATGGCGATGAACTATATTTGATTTGAGTGAATTCAATGAGCAGTAAAGAGTTCTATTTAGTTTTTTTTAAGACTCATTGACGTTTAATGAACAATGTGTTCTAGAAAATAATTTCTTATGCTTGTAACATTGATGAAATGTGAGTAAATATTCGAATTGTTTTTCACGTGACCGCCAAACTAATAGATAGTAAATATGCAATAATGTATGACTTTTTTTAAGATAAATCAATAAAAAATGGTTAATAGATAATAAACATCAATTTTTATAAGATAACTAATTTTGAAAGTCAAACAAAACTAAAATTTGGCAATTCTTACTATATTTTTCTTGCTACTTTTAATGTTATTGAATAATTTTTATTCTTAAAACTTAGAACAATGAATCTTAAGGAAATTTAATATTAAAGACAGTTTTTTATATATTCTACATGAGTATTTTATAAATATTTAAAATATCATTTACTTATTTCGTTGATTTGCATACTAGTTGCACCGCATCATCTAAACAAAATTAAAAAGATTAGGTCTCCGCGTTTGTCATTAGGATTTCATCCTTTTTTTGATGATTGACAGTGTTGCCGTAATTTTTTACACAGTAATTTCAATTTACTATACAATTTTCCTACTTATTGATAAAAATTACAATAATACAATTAAAATATTAGAAATAATACTCAAGATAATTAAAATCACTATAAGTTAAACTTTAAAACATATTATACATAATTAAAATTGTGTACAATATAATTATTAAAATTGGTACTACCTGTTAATCATATAGTTAGAAAACAAATATTGATAACCGATGTATACAATATACGAGTTGTCCACAATGGATTTACAGCGCATTGGCAGCCTTTGTCCACCACAGCTAAAACTAAACTAATGTATATCTTGACATTGTATTATTAGCTATATATTTTTCATACTATTGTAATTATATTCAATTTGTCTAAAAATTGTTATTTAAATTTAATTTCAGAAGTTATTGCAAAGAGTTGTTTTAGTAAAGTGAAAAGCTGACACTGATCACTGTGAACAAACTCAGTACCTAATGGGGAACGCAAACGCTACTCGAAGAGGATCAATTTTCTCAAAACAAGATTCGACCAGCGAAGAAGGGTCTAACAGGTTAAGTAAACGTTTGTCCAGTCGACAGAACACTTTAATCGAAGAAGAAGAGTTCCTTCCAGAGCCCCCAGCGTTACCACCGCCGGAACCGTTGACCGAACGCCAAAAAGAGCTACTGACGGAGACATGGAAGCTTCTAGAAGAAGATATTGCTAAAGTCGGTGTTATTACATTCGTAAGGTAAGTTGCGCACATTTATCGCACGAGTCACTTAATTGGTCCTCGTAAGACTACCGATGGTAAACATTTTGTTTAAAGTTGTATATTTTAAATTATGATGCGAAATTTTTCAATCCAAGTATTTTGTTTACTTAATTTTATATTTACTTATGAATACATTTGTATGAACAAGCTAATGTTAATAATTAAAATAGCATAATTCCAAAACGCATTAGGATAATTCGTGTTACTTGCTATAGGAAATTGGATTATTATTTAAAATACGGCTCAGTGAACGTAACTTTGGATTATATACGAAACATTTAACATTTTGTCATACTCGAGTACTTTGCTTTTCCAGTTAGAAACCGTATTTGTTATTGCTTAAGCTCAGAGCTTCTGTTATTGATACCCTGTTGTTTTAGCATCGTGTGATTGTTAGTTGAGGGATTAATTGTACAAATAAATATTAACGCAGAATATACAAAAGGTGTTGTCGAACAGCGTTATCATTTTACTAGTGTCAACAATTTATTTTACCCGATTCCAAATTAATATCAAATGATTTCAATTTCTATTCGGCTGATAAGATTTTAGCGCGTTCTAGAGTTATTTACCAATTGTTTTGCATACATTTTTAGCATTTCAAAAATAATTGTATGAAAAATACAAATGGCGATAAATTTTATATCGTAATCGTTCAAGTTATATTGTTTTAAACTTAAAGTTTTGTTTTTTTTAATTGGAAATTGTTAGGAGTCTTTTTTTATTAGTCTTCTGTATTAAAAAAAAATGTTCTAATAAATAAAAGTATAGTTAGTGAAATATGTAAATCTTGAATTTGTGAAGCTTATATCACTTGTACATAAATTTTAGTTAATTGTTAGTCGTCAATCACCATTCAAATCAGAATCCAACTAATTATTTGGTAAAATCGCCATTATAATTGTAATAAGACCTTTGATGACGACATTAATCTCATCCTAACAAAAACACGATCGTTACATTAACAAATAAGTGGGTATAAAGTTAGTTTTTAGTAGTCACAATTATTTCCCAACATTTACGAATAATTGCGTTTTAGCTCGACCACTGATATTGTGAACATTTTGGAGAATTTTTTGCTTTTAAGTTCTATAAACAAACTAAGCGTTATTAAAAATATTACAGGGAGAATAATGAAACTTGAAAGTGTTTAGCTACTTAGATCGGAATTTTCTTGTAGTTAATGTCTATTATTTAATGAAAAATATAGTTTCAGTTTTAATAATTCAATTAGTCATTTTTATGTTTATAACTTTCAGACACGTTACTCTAACGTCGTAATTTATATGTAATACTTAAACTTGATGTTGCTCATCCCTTTTTGGTGTGTTTTAAGAGTCATAGTCAGCCTTTGCATAAAATATTGTATAATAGTTACACAATCATATTTAATTATTAAATATTAAAGCCATATATCTGAATAGCCAATTAAACAATAATGTGAGATAAAATTAATTGTTTAAATTAAACATACTTACTATTTAAATTCATTACAAAGTTGTATGCGAATAAAACATAAGTCTTTTGAGTTTCTTAGAAATTGTCATTTATTAATTAGGCTACATTTATTTAAACATTATAATATGCTTAAACGTTGTTTTACTTTTAAAGCAGTATAAACATTTTAACATCCATAGAGTTTATGTTAACAAGAAACTGTATGAACGCAATTAAACAAGTTGTGCAAGTGTAATTACTGCGTAAGATAACTTTAAAGCTAACAAACAGTATAATTTATAGATAATTTTTGTAGCTTTAGCTAATATATCTCGGGCGAATGGTCTAAGACGATTTTAAACCGTCTCAGTAAATCCAATATGTATAATCATCATTGTTTTGTATTTTTTTTTTCTACAATTACTGTATATTATAAATTAGTGAACAAAAAATTAACTGCCGATAAATGATTTTAAATAATTATTAATTGGATTTTGTTATTATTTTGAGAATTTATATCAAAATGTCTATAGCCATCTTGCCAATTACATTTAACAGTAGTTAACATTAGTTTGTAGTAACATTTATATAAACGTAATAATTTCCCTTTGGTGTTTATTTTTTATTATCATTTCCATTATGTTTGTTTGATATATATATTAAACATAAAATAAACAATGTGGCATTATAATAATGGAACTGTATAGAAACTCGAATAAATCCGTTTTAGTTTAAACGTATAGGACAGGGGATGGTTCACAAATAATTTTATGATAAATAATTAATTTACAAAATTTATTAATTTTTCACTAAATGACAATTTTTAAATAAAATAACGTTTCCCTGAATCAAACATTTGTTTAAACGATTTTTCCAGAAAAATAATTACTCAATTTGATTATTGTCTCAGTAATGATATATACATTTTATTCACTCTAAATCATTTAATATTGTGCAAAAGAGAAGACGGCAGAAATCAGAATAAAACTTTGGTAACTTTGTCTATTCTCGTAAACTTGTAACTTGACATAAAAATTCACCGGTACGTTTATATTTAGCATAAAGTTTGTTCGCACGTTGTTTACAATACAATGAACATGGACGTGATGTTTGTTCTCACATCGAATTTTTTTGATTTTGTGTACCAATTCAATATGCTGATGATACCTGTAAGTGTACATAAATGTATATTATTTGTCATTTCAGTAGGTTTCGATGAAAAGATATTTTCTCTTTTTGTGTAACTTAACATTTTGTAGTGTTTGATGCCAGTCAATTGATACGCAGACTGATTGCTATTTTCGGTCGTTCCGATGTGTTCAAGAACAAGTGAAATGTTCATTTTGTACGGTGCGATACGAGTCATTCTGTACTTTAGAGCCATAAACTGATATGTGCTAATGTATAACTTTTATGGTTCCCGCCGATCAGAGATTAACAACAGTACACCGCGCCAGTGCAGACAGTCCTGGCACAATACCGACTACCAGTATTCGATTAATTTAGGCATAGTATGACCGCCAATATTGGAGCAGTGCTTAGACACGACGCCAAGTACGGACTAGCCACTAGTTAGTCTGGCACGGATAAATCCTATGAATCGGTTTTACTCAAAGGATTACTCAAACAGAACGGCACTTTTATTGAACTATCTGGTCCGACGGTTATATTTAAATATCACTTAAACGACATTACAGTAACGCTGTGAATATATTGTTAGTTCAAAGTCTCATTAACGAGTGTATAAAATGAAAAGAAACAAAGTTGATTCGAAAACACTCGAGAGGAAGTTTGGCCAACGGCGGCGTATCGGAACGCATAAATGGCACTTAAGACCACAGAAACCGGATAGAGCGTTCACCGCCAGCGCTGGGTGGTCGACCGCGCTCCAGTAGATAGACTTTGCACACTAGCTATGTGACGGGGGTACTCTGATCAGGCTGGTGTAAAATGGCGGCCGATGAATGAGACGAGGTGACCGTGCATTAAACGAATCGCAAAACGTACGGTACCGTGTCAAGTTGCCAGTACTGATGCAATACGTCGCTCGCTGTCAATAACGGAACTTAACGACAATTTTTGCTTGGGTTGCTTTTTTATAATGTAATTATGTAGAAAGTGTATTTTCATTTAATTAGAATATCTTCATTAGAGGCAATGTATTTTAATAAAGTATCTTATTGAGAGAATGACCGTCGGATAAAAACTCTTGAACCAGTATTTTGGAAGTTAATATAATTTACATTTTTATTTAATCTGAGAATGAATTGTAGGTTATTATCATTTTCAACGGGCAATTTATAGCTGCGCTCTTCTTTCCGCCACGATTTCCTCAACGAAAAAAATTCAAAAGCTGATTATCGATTCATCATTTTTTTAATTAAATCATTTTTTAACATGTAAATATATCAAATATTTATGTTGTCATCGAAAGAATATAAAGTTTTACCCCTATAATGCACATGTGATATACCCGAAAAATACATAATTCATGAATTCAGAATCGATTATAAAAAATTAAATACTAATAAATAAATATTCTTTTGTTCCTTGGCTTTATTGCGTCGACTGTCTCTAAGATACCACTTGCATATTCTAACAAACAATAAACAAACACAGTAAACTGCACACAGCTTTTAAAAAAAATTTCGTATTTACACGAGTGTTATATGATTATTTTCTGTGAAAAATTTACCATTTTTGTGATTAATCATCAACGTTGAAGATCCTCAGGTCTATGAAGATTTCAATACTTTCTCTATTAACACGTTTTTCGTTATCGGCTTGTTAACTATGAAGCTTTACAATTATTTGATTCGCAGAATTTGATATCAACAACACCGACGCGCTTCTAGTAAGCTGCTCCTGAGGCCCTTTTGTCCCGCTCTCGACTGTCACCAAAATCATTTAACGATTAATGATAGCACTTCTATATTACGAGGATGAATAGCGCGAGGGCAAAGTTTCAGAGATAAATGTAATTAAGCGCGTTCAAAAGTTTGTGGTCTTTTTAAGCAGACTATCCGACCAGGCTGTTTCTGTTGCCATGTTTAAGAAATAACAAATTTTTGCATTTGATCTTCACATTGGTATAAATTTGAACAAAATTTCATATTACGCCAATTTCCATGGAACATTTTTATTTAAAACAAATAAAATGAGGTCTCTCTCCTAAAGTGGTCAATAGTATGTTGTAAGAAATTAGAAAAAATATGTATGAGTAGGTTACGTAAAGTACTTGAGATGTTACATAAACAATGTACACAATTTATTAAATAGATTGTCCTTAAACTGAATACTAACAATTAGGAATATTTTCTAAAAAAAATTAATCGTAACTACAAAAGTTTAGTACAGAGTGTTCAAAAAGTATGAAATCAAATACTATTACAAATAATGAGAACAAAAGAAATGCGTTTCCTTAGTCACTATATAGATGTTTAAAGAATTGACATAATACATACCAATGGACTATACTCATAAATGCTTATAAAATGTAAATCAGTAAACAAGCTCATGAGGAAATATAATACGATTAA